TTAAATCAGAATGTTCTTGTTATTGCTCTGTAACTAAAATGTGAAGTAAAGCTATGTTAATGTTGAAGTGAATTATATAGTGCATATGTGTAGGTAGCTGATACATTTTAAATCAGAATGTTCTTGTTATTGCTCTGTAACTAAAATGTGAAGTAAAGCTATGTTAATGTTGAAGTGAATTATATAGTGCATATGTGTAGGTAGCTGATACATTTTAAATCAGAATGTTCTTGTTATTGCTCTGTAACTAAAATGTGAAGTAAAGCTATGTTAATGTTGAAGTGAATTATATAGTGCATATGTGTAGGTAGCTGACACATTTTAAATCAGAATGTTCTTGTTATTGCTCTGTAACTAAAATGTGAAGTAAAGCTATGTTAATGTTGAAGTGAATTATATAGTGCATATGGGTAGGTCCTACTCTAGCCAGAACAGTGATTATTCAAATATAAATTTTATGTCAGTATATGTTCGTACAAGCAAATATTTGTTGTTTCTTTATTCCACTTCAGTTAATTGATTTTTAGAAGAAGGATCCAATTTCGTGGTATGCTCATATACTAAGTAAGAATTAAACAGCATGAAAACTAAATTTTTTAAAATTCATGGGCAAATTTACATATAAACATTGAAGGCTTCACATTAAGATACATAGCCTCAATTGTTAAACAGATTGTTGATTTTTATTTTCCCCCATTATTCAGTGGACTCTAGTTTTTAGTTCTACTTATGAATCTACTTACAACTGTTCTTAACAGATCATCAGGATAACAAAGACCAAGAAGAAGAGGAAAGTTATGAATATGACTTGATTGGAGTAACTGTCCACACAGGCACTGCTGATGGTGGTCACTACTACAGTTTTATACGGGAGCGACAGAATCCTGGAAAAGACAAGTGGTAAGTTTAGAACAGTAGAAAGACACATGTTCCTGGATATGACTGTAGTAATTTCAAGACAATGTTTTTATACAAAAAACAAGAAAGAAGAAACTTTCTGGAATGTGATTTGTTTTTAACTTCTTTTCATAGATTTACAGTTTCTTGGATATAACAAGTAACAAAGCAAGAACTATAGAAACTTTCTAAGTACAAGTTATAAATCCTTCTTAGAAGTAATGTTGTTACATGCATTACCCGAACTCTTACTTTAAATCTGTCTGTTGTTAGCAGCATTCATTGTTAGACTACGTCTTCGATGTTACACTCTGTATAATGATAAATATGATATGCATCATTTAAATAATGAAAATTCACTGAACTTCTTTCAGTGTTAAAGTAATAATATGGTAGAATATATTGTTACAACAGCGGGGGTCACGTGACACTAGTAACATGTCATATTCTCGAACGTTCACGTCCCTTCCTGAAATCTCGAGAGCCTACTAGATATGCGGTAGTCTTGTATATATAAACCGGTCAAGACGTGACGACAACAATGTAATTGAACTGCGGACAGAGAGACATGTTGTTGGGTCGAGCATGTGAGGCGTTCGTTGTGAATTATAGCGTTTGTTATAGTGCGACTGTGGAAATTAAGTGTATTGCAAAGTTGTATTCAGAAAGAATAAACCAGTTTTAATTGAGAAAGGACTTATATCGCTAAAGTTTCTTCGGAAAGAATTTTTACGGAAAATTAACTAACGACCAGAGACGTAACAAATTGGTGTCAGGAGTGAGATTGAAAAAAAAATAGAAACGAGAAGCAGTAAATCAAACTACAGCTTAGCAGATTTGATGGCAGCAATACAAGAACCGAGAAAATAAACAAGAAAAGAAACAAGAAGAGAGACAACAGCAGTTGCAAGAAAACCTGCAACAGTGGCAGCTGGAACAGCAAAATAAACAAGACAGATTACAGCAGTTGTTGGAGGAAAAAGAAAAGAATCAAGAAGAACGAGAAAAGAAACAAGAAGAGAGATTACAGCAGTTGTTGGAGGAAAAAGAAAAGAATCAAGAAGAATGAGAAAAGAAACAAGAAGAGAGATTACAGCAGTTGTTGGAGGAAAAAGAAAAGAAACAAAAAGAGAGATTACAGCAGTGGCAACTGGAACAAGAAAGGAAACAAGAAACACAAATGGAAAACATTAATAAATTTCAAAGCGAATTAAATGCATTAAAGGATGATTTATTGTCTTTTACACAAGGAAGATACATTAACCATCGACCTAATCAGCCTCAGACAATGGGAAGCCCCCTCCAGACCCCGCAGCTAAACCCTGATGCAGAAATCTTCAGTCCTGTTAGAAGTCACATCCCAGATATGAATGTCAGTAATAGGGGTGATCCAGTACAAAGGAAGCCACAGGAATTCGATGGGAAGGCACCATCTGAAGCATATAGAGCACAATTTGAGCTACTGGCAGAAATGAATGGACAGAGGAGCAGAAAGCAGTATATCTGGCAACGAGCTTGAAAGGACAACCACTGGAAATACTTGGACAGTTGAAGGCAGACGACAGGCACAACTATAGAGCACTGGTAGCAGCTCTAGAACTCAGGAACGGAACCCAAAATCAGTCTGAAGTCTACAGGGCTAGGTTTAGGATGAGAGTCTGGACGAGCTGGCACACGACTTGGAAACTATGGCACACAAGGCCTACCCAACTGCACCACCCGATCTCCTTAAGTTGTTGCTCAGGGATCAGTTTGTAGATGCCTTGGACAGTCCACAACTAAAGATACAAGTGAAGCAAGCACACCCCTCTACTATGCAGGATGCAATGTCCAGAGCTTTTGAATTTGAATCTTACATTAATTCTAGCACAGAGGTACCAAGGTGGGTACAGTCATCAGTATTCAAGGCCAGAAAAGGTCAACTTTCAGAGAAGTTTGAGGGACTTTGCTGGCACTATAACAAACCTGGGCACAAGAGAGCTCAATGCTGGCAATTTCAACACAGGGGAGATGTTACAGCAGGAAAGGCTGCTACCCAGAAAGGTTGTTGGAACTGTGGAAAGCAAGGACATATGAGGAGCCAGTGTAAGAAGAATATTACCAACAAGTCAGCCTCAAGGAGACCAGTAGTGGTTGGTGTTAAGGGACATTCACCAACCCCCATCATGAAAGTCCCAACAGCTAGGTGTAGAATGCCAAGCACACACAGTGTCTATGTGACAGGAAAGCTGGATGGCCAAAGGTGCAACTTTGTCATAGATTCTGCATCTCAGCAAACTCTTGATCTGTTAACAGGACGCCCACCTTATGAAGAGTTGCCTGAAAATGTGTCAGAGTTTGTGAAAGTGTTATAGGAAAGGATGGATGATATTCACCATCAAGTGCGTTCAAACTTGAAAACGTCTGCTGATTCGATGAAGTTATCTTATAATAAGAGATCTACTGAAGTCAGCTTTGTACCAGGAGACAAGGTGTGGTTGTATAATCCCAGGAAGACCAAAGGATAGTCTCCTAAGTTGTCTTCTCCATGGGAACGCCCATATGACATAGTGGATCGTCTCTCAGATGTGACTTTCCGGATAAATGTGGTTGGCAAGGTAAGCCAAAGGTGGTGCATGCCAACAGGGCTTTGCC